CAATGAGATTAATAAAAAATATATTTTTTTAAATAGATAAAAATAAAAGCCAGCCTTTATTGAGCACATACTACATACCAGGCAGTCTGCTAAAACTTTCCTCACATTAGCTCACTTTACCCTCAAAACAACCCCAGGAGGTAGATAGGCTTATAATCTCCTATGTTTGAGGTAGGGAAACTGAGGCTCAGAAACCCAGTATGTTTTACAAATATTTAATTTAAGAAGAAGATTATGTGTACTCTCAAAGGCTTTGTTTTGTCTTGCTTTTGTTTTTTCCAGTCTGTAAAAAGCATTTGATTTGAAGTCATCCTTACATATTATGGGCGACAATGCCTGTTGCCTAATCAATATCCATTCTCCCCCCCTTTTGTTGTGAACAGCTATAGTACTTTGATGGGGAACATTTTAGAACAAATGGCCTAGACAATTCCAAGGGTCACAAATAGAAGCCGCCCCATTAGCTGAATAATGGACCCTCAGCACAGCTTGTAGCGTGATAAATGCGTGTTCGAAGAACAAGTCTTCGAGATGCTAACACCTGAGCTAGTGGTCCCATCTTTTCATCGAAAGGATAATTGTATGGTCAGACTTCAAAGTCAAGTGTGAGGAGAAGCTGTGTAAGCTTGATAGCTAATGTGTGGGCACTGACACTAGCTAATTAGTGAATTAGTGGCATATTAAACCACAGAGTTCAAAGAAGCTTACTCATTAACTGGGTTTAAGGAGGTACCACCAACACTCTGAGGGGAAGTAAATACTGATCTGCACTTTACTGGTTTTGTGGTAAATACTTTGTCAATGGCTAGGATTTCACATTAACTTTCTTTTTGTCAACTCCAATATTTTCTTCCCCCCACACCCAGTGTTCACCCTCCTTGATCTTTCAGTATGTTTCTAACGGCGTTCACAACCCCTCCTTCTCGCAATTCTCCCTGCCCTTGTTTCTGCACCCTGCACATGCAATTCAATTGCATTTCAACCAATATTTATTGATCATCTGTGATGTGCCAGACACTGGGCTATCATCATTCGTTTATGAGCTCATTCATCAACATTAATTGAGTTCCTACTAGGTCGGGCACGGTGCCAATGACCGATACAAAGATGAACAACACAGAATCCCTGACCTAAGAAGCCGCACGGTCTAGCGAAGGAGGCAACATATCACAGAATAATGAGGCTTCACTGGAAGTACAAACTCAGGGGCTGTGCCCTCAGACAAGGGATCAATTGCTTCTCTCTGGAAGTTTGGGTATGTAGCATAGCACAGTGCCTGGCACATGCTAAATTTCAATAAATATTCGTCAAAAGAACAAAAAGATTCCCTAGTCTGACTTCAGGGAGCTCTACTGGCTGAAGTCATGGGGTTCAGCTTGTCGGGGCAGAGGATCAGAGTCTCTGGAGGCGAGGAAAGGGCAGTGATGGAGATAATGCTTATCTGAAAGAGAAATTCTTTCCTCCAGTTAGTATTTAATTTATAAATTTTATGCACATGCATATTTAAAAAGCACATTACATAAATTATTCATTTGCAACTTTAATTTTACAGATTTATTTATCAAGAATG